CATTAACATTTTTAAATATATGGGTCTACCAGTATGAGTCATTACACATTGTAATCACAACTCACATACTTGTTATATAATGGTAAATAGGAGGTATAAATGCAACATAACCAATATTTACTAAAAATAGAAATCCAAATATATACTGAATTTCTGGCATCTAATATAAGTATTTCTACCTACATACCATTTTTATTTATTAAATAATATTTGATAACATTTGTGATACTGTAGATATGAGAATTTGAAGAATGCATTTTTATCTACAACCACTAATCTGAATATCAATATTATTCAATTTTAGAAGAATCAAAATCAAATTAAAATGTCAGAGTCAAAAGAATGGGAAAATTACTATATTAAAATCATAAAAACAAAAATTGCAAACAAATTCAAAAGACAAATAGTAACAGTGAAAAAAAGAACTGGTAACTTGCTAGAGAATTATTGAACCAGTTATATAAAGAACTATGAGTAAGTCAAAGAGATTAACAGAATATGAAAATAGGGGTGACAAAGAGTTTGACAGTAAGAAAGGAAATACTCATATTCCTCCAATTGAAAAGATAATCAATTTAATTTATAAGAAAAATGTAAATTACAATTAACCAGATATGCTATGTTTCACCTATCATCTTGCAAAATTCCAAGTTCTTCAATTCCATCAAACGGCCATGCTGCAGCAAAATAATCACTTCTACATATTACTATGAATGACACAAAATAGCACAGCAACATGTAGAGGGTTTCTAGGAATACCTACAAAAATTAAAGATTTATTTATCTTTGAACAAACATCCCACTTTGGAGATCTCTCCGATAGATAACACATACACACAAATGTGTGTGTGTTTATTTGTGTATATTGATCATTGATATGTGCATGAGGACATGCATTTCATCTTACATGTGATAGAAACAAAACAATGCATATTGCCTGTAATTTAGACAAAACAATAATAAAAACAAAAACACCAGACTTAATAAGCATGCATTAAAATATCTGTGGAGGAAGGGTATCCCAGTAAAAGTAGGGAATTAAACACCTCCAAAAATTCTCTCCCCCATAAAAGCAAGTACCAGTGAGAATTTTGTTTCAATAATTTTAAACAATCATGACAAACCATTAGCATGATTACTAAAGTTTATAGTTTATGGAGTACTTCCCTTTGCATTGACACATCTGATTATTGTAATACTACAGCAGTCATGTTATAATTATTATACTAGCCATTGAAATGGATGCTACAGTCCAACCCAAGAAATTGCTTCAAAACACTCGCACTATTCTAACTGAAAAAGATAACTTAACCCGGGATCTCAAACATTTCATGTAAATGGTTAATAATAAATATAATAGGCTTTGCAGACTTATTTTCTTGCCACTATTGAATTCTACCATATATATCTATAGCTATAAACAATACATAAATGTTTGTATGAGACTGTATTCCAATAAAACATCCTTTATAGACACTGACATTTGAGTTTCATAAAATTTCCATGTGTTGCAATGTTTTTCAACAGTTTAAAAGTAAAACTTGAAGAAAAAGCTCACTATACAAGCAATACTAAAACAAGAAACTGACTGCATTTGGCCCTCGGGCTACAGGTTAACTGTCCCATAATCTAAACCACAAACCAAACTTTATAACACACTTGAATTAGTAATAAAAATGTCAAGCAAGCATTTCTCAGTTCTACATGAGAGGAAGCCCACATGGAGGAATTAAAGAGACTTGCTAATTGTAAATCAGAGCAAGCAGTGTGGCTACAGCACAAACCCAGTTCTCTGTACTCACTTGTCATTATTTTTTCATAGGGGAAATGCTTCTATGCCAATGATAGGTGTGATGTATGACAAGCAGTTGGGATTTGTGTGCTATCTTATGTAACATTTATTCTCAGTTATAATGGGATTCATCCAGCACTATTCAACTTTTCTAAAATGAAAAATAGACTATATAAGCTATATTAGATTTACATGATTTTTGGAAAAAAGGAAACATTTTTGTTAAAACTATGATGATTAATTATCATATGATTTGTCCCAGGAAGAAAGGACTTACTTTCTAACATTCTAACAATTGTGCTATTATATTTTTCTTGCCCAAATCCCTCAATTATTTAAAAAATCTTTAAAAAGTTCATGAGAGATATAAAAAGATCCTTAATAAGTCTATGAGATCCCATCCATAAGAAATATTCATATGTTAATTTTGGTATTTGATCTCTCATGGCCTTTATATTCTGGAAGACATTATGAGTTTTCAAGTGGACTTATGGTCACCTAGCTAATGTGCATATACGTGGATAATTATGTAAACATAACTGGGTATATATACTTGACTTGTAGAGGCACATTTGTGCTTCTTACCATTAGAAATTACTTTATGATCACTACCTTAACCACATCTTAATAGTAAATAAACATATTGTTTGACATAGTATCTATGTCTTATCATAGTTGCGTATTATTTAAATACTTATCTACATAATATATAAATGCCTTATATTTACATATTATAATCAAGGTCTTAGCCACATCTTAGTATTAATACTAGCCAATGTTTTAGTACCATCTTAGTTGGCATTGCCAATGCCAACAAAAGCAAGCTTACTCATAACAGATTCAATCTTTGATAAAGAAAAGGCAAAGAAAATCATCCTAAGAAAGGAGAAGTCGGTATATATCAAACACTTACGACTTGAGCTTTCATCCAAAGTCCATTAAATGGTGTTTTATAATGTGAATTATAGCTATAGATGTATAAAATTACAAACGAGAGTTCTGGGATATTTTGAAACAAACATACAATGCATCTATGAAAACATTTTTTAATATAAAAACTGTCATGTCAATATGATTATTCTTTTTATATTTCCTGCTGACAAAATTCCTGCTAGCATTTCTGTGATTGTGAGAATAAGGGCAATGCTGATGTTCAGTCTTTAGCTTTTCATGTTCATAGTAATTATAATAATGATGTTTTATTCAGGAGTCCTGTGAAAATATATGTCTGGTTCATTATGAATATACATTTTTAAGTGTGAGATGTAACTTCATTCTTGAAAGAATTAAAATAATGGAACAGGAGTGTAATATTTTAGTCACATATGGATTATTGAGCTTTGTACTCTTAAAAAGAATTTTCATAAGTGTGTTTGTGTGTGTGTGTTGTATGTGTGCATGTGCTCATTTTGGTGGTGGGTGAGGAGGGGAGAGAAACTGTACAATTAAGTTAGAATTGCTCCTATAGACATATTATAATCGAGAGAGACTTATTGAGGGATCTGGGATCTGATGGGGGGTAAGGGAACAGCAACTTTGATTGTGGCCCTTTATTTATCGATTGACACTGCCTTGGACAGTTGAGACACCATTTGCACAGAATCTCCACAGGCTTGAACAGCCTCACAGATTCCCACCAATTCCTGACAGGTAAAAATCTCTCCACCATATGTTCACTGGCACCCAAACCCAGAAGGGTTTCTTGAAACTGATCTATTATTGAGGATTCATATTTTACTAAAACGATGAACTCGAAAGAAACAAGAAATTGTCCCATCTTTCTCTTGACCCTAATAGTAAATTTTGGTTTTGCTTTTTTAATTAAATTAAAATGACAAAATATACCTAACAAAATATTTCCTGCTAATAATTTGTTTTGTATTTGTCTAAAGAGGCAAACAGATTCTGTTCCATTTCATTCCCTTTTAAGGATTGAAAGGATGATACAAAAGGAGTTTGAAGTTCACAACATAGATGACTTTCTAATGACTCCATACATTGTGTTTCTATTTTAGTACATTTGTCTCTATTTACTTCATGGACACCTCGTAGTATATGATAAAGTCATGAGTCCTTAGTCTCATTTTCATTTGCATATAAGAACATGACAGAATTGTTTCAGATCTTTTTGTGTTATTTCCCTTTTCCAACTCTGCAGCTCCTTCCTTGTATGGGAAATACAGCTGCAATCCAGTCCCTGCTGGACGAGGGATGGCACAGATGGTTGGTGATTCTGGGCTGCCCACACATTAGGAAAGCACCACGGCTTGGATAGAGTACTGCTTTTTTTTTTTTTTAGCACTAACAATGTTAAAGTGAAAATAAATAGTCAAGCAGGAGATGGAAGTCACGGAGCCTGCAGTCACGGAGATCCTCCTGTGGTGTTTGCTGTTCCTCCCACAGGCTGTGATCAAACCCACCTGAGAAAGTCAGTCACTCATCAGAGGAAGTTCTCTCCACTTCCCACTCTCCACGGTACCCCAGAGCCTGGAGGACACAAGCTTACACTGCTCCAAATTATTTAGGGCACAATTCCCTACAGGGTCTGATAAGCCACAAAACAGTCTTATCTGTATTTTTAGGAGAAAGGACAGTAGGTCTGAATATACTGATCATTTTATCAAATTTCATTATTCTGGGATTTTAGCAAAACTAGCCCATTCAGTGTATACTTAATCTATATTCAAAATATATCAACATTTTAATGAAGTTGATTGGAGGGTTTGAAAAAATTAGCCATGTTCTTTTAAAGGCTGACCTCAATTCAAATACAAGTTCTAGTAATTAACAAAAGTACATTTGTTGTCATGAGAGTGTCTTCTTTTTGGCCTCATATGATATAGCAATAGAAAAAAATTCAATCCTCCAATAAAGGATGTGAATTCTAACAAATCTACATTGTAAAAAAGACAAAATTATTTAACTGTTCACTGAAGTGTTTCCACTTCTCAAGAGAGAACAGGAAAAGTAACATGATAAAGAAAATTCAGTTCTTTTTGTACAGACTGATGTTAAAGGTGATGTGACTTGGTTAATAAAGCTCATTTGTTACAATATTATTTTGAAATGTTTCATATGAGTCATAGGATTCTATAATATCTTTGACTTCACATACCATGTCTCTTGCAAGCCAACTCCAGTCCCAGCCTCCTCACACCCCAGGATTTCCCAGAAGACGAAAAATCAAGCCAAAAAAATAAATACTTACTTTTCCGACATATTGTGGATCTGGTCCCATATGTTCTTCTAAAACAAAGAACTGATTCCAAACCCATCCCCTTTTGGGACGATGGTGGACTTCGGTTTCACCTTCAATATGTTTGGTTTGGTTCTTGGTCACCTTGATGGAGCTGTGGTGAGCAGTTCCATAACACCTCTGCACAAAACAGAGACACACGAGGACTGGACAGATGCAAGATGTGCTCGTAATTTTCATTGTAAGATACCTTTCCAGTTCACAGTTTTCTTTCTTTTCCTTGTCAGCTACAAATGCTTAGTGAGCATTCAAGAGAGAAGCCAAAGCATCTTTTGAAGGACGGTCCAAAGCAAATTGTTTAGCGTGTCCATGATTTAACTGCCCATCAGGGAAAGGTCAGACTACATTTACATCCTGAAACACTTGGAGAATCAAAGCTCCAGTTGTTTGATTCCAATTTTTCACAGTAGGTGAGCACAGGCAACCATTTTCTACCTAATGGAAAGAGAAAATTACATACATTACAAAACTTGTAGCTTTAAGTATTTGTTCTGAATGCAAATTATATTATTTTGCAGTCAATGCTAATAGGCAAAGGATATATATACAAATTCTTTTGGCAATGGACACATGCATATATTCCCAAGGTTATGAAAAAGCTGGCACACCATATACATTTTTACATAAACTTCATTCTCTTGACTTTATTCTCTTCCTCCTAGGTGAAATATATGTTAAAATGACATAAATGAAGCCCTCAGGAGTAAGATGCTCAGATATAGATCATGAGTATATGCACATGTCTGAATTCAGAACAGATACTGAAGTTTGGAATCATATTATGCATAGTTCTGGCACACCTAAGGGGGGAAAGTATGGTATCAAAAGGAACAAAAGGGAGAATACTTTGATTTTTCAATTAAATGAGTATTTGGATATAGCTTTACTATGACTGGACAGTAAAGTAAAACTTAAGAAATATTTTTAGAAAACAAATGAGTTAGGATAGCAAAGAATGACAGAATTACTAACACAGTGAGGACACATAATATTGTGTATAAAGTTTTCTGTATTATATAAATGTCTTTCAATAATTGTTTAGAAAAGTTGTATTTATTCAAGAATATTGTTATCCCATCACATAAAAATGTAATCTGAATCACATTGTCATTCCATAAAAAACATTCTTATAAATCAGCACAAAAGGAAATGTAGATCTAAATGCATCATAATGTGGTTAACATGATGACATAAATGCTTTAAAAAATTGAATATAATCAGTCATAGTATAATTATTTTATTCTATTGAGAAAAATGTTTATACTCAGTAAAGATGAGGGGGGTAAAAAAACATGATACTCAGGGTAAGAATGTTCTATCACTATCTCTTCCCATAAATTAAGATTAATAATAAGGCTTACTTCACCAGTTGTGTAAAAATTACATTGGATTAGAATTAGGGTTCAAGCATCTGGCAAATATAAATTTATGTTTGGAATATTTCATGAAAACAAAGATACATTCCTCAGTGATATAAATTAAAATGACTAACATATAAACATAGCTCCTAATATATTTAAAAAAGAACGATATAATATAGTTTCAACATGGTAATCACACTGGTAAATCAAAATCAAAAACAAGTCTCCTTTTCTTTTTTTAGCAATTTACTCGTGATACCAACATATGTGATATCTAGCCTGTTTCCTTATTTATAAAAAGTTTTGGCTTGAATAAATAGCTTTTAACTTTCTTTCTACTCTAATAAATTATTTGGATGATTGATACTACAGGTTTATTTTTATCAAACGATTCTTAATTTTCATGTCATGGATTTCATAAAAAAGAAACTCTTAGTCTTTTTTCCTAGAAGTCAAGTTGATGAAAAGATAGAAGGTGTTGTTATCTTAATACTCTCATACCATTTGGTGTGATTTTTAGATGAAATTAACATCCTTGCCCTTTATGCTAAGTTGTTTAACAAAGCATAATTCATGAGTAGAAGGTGAAGAAGTGGTGTATGTAAAGCATTATAGATATGTAGAATGAGTGTTTTCTTTACCTTACTGAACTGTGCAACATTCTAAAAATATATAAATGCATCTTAGTCTATTCATGCATGATATGTTTATGAGCCTATTATGACAATTATGAAAAGAGGTAAATGAAGCTCTGTGGAATGATAAAACGAATGTAAACATCACCAATATAATTTTGAAAGCAATTTAATTTACTATATCATGAGAGGACAAAAAATGTATGAAAATTATCTGCTTCACTTGAAATGCATCCCTGTACAGGTTAGAAAGAATTAAAATGTAAATTAAGAAAACAATAACAACATGTGTAGACAATTGCATTTTTAACTTGACCATTCACACACACTTTCTGCTTTCAGGGAATACTACAAAATATGAATTTTGATTAACAGAGCCCTAACTTTCACCTCTGAACACTTAGGGATCAAGATATTTTCTTCTTATAACCTTCTAGTTAGACTTTGTACTACCGACATACAAAGGTTAATTACATGTTCCAACACCCTGGAGCAAATGATAGTGAATATAAGGACAATAGAAAAATGTTTCACAGCAGTGGCTTGAAGGTCCAGATATTGTGGTGGCTTTTCCAGCAGAGTCCAGTGACAGTTGCCTGAATTATTAGTCATTCTAACCATATCGCTTCAGTAGCAAGCACTTGACACTGTTTCTTACTAACTTCTCTTGGTTCCTACCTCTTCCCAAATCTGATTATCAGGGTCCCTCATCAATTTTGACAGTGTTACATGATATCTATCCAATAAATTCAGTTGCTTCTTCCCATGGTCAAAGTTGATTTTGTTGTTTGAAAATACACAGTACAATCACTAATAAAAAAACATTGACTAATACGCCAAAAAAAAAAAAGTAGCAATTTCAATTCAATGCATTATTTTCTTTTTCAAAAAAAGATTTTTATTTATTTATGCATATAAGAGCTGGGTGTAGTGCGGGGTGCAGGGGCCGGGGGAGTTAGAGGATTCACCAGAGACAAAGTGGGAAGCAGAACAGGCAGACTGAAATACACTGCTGAGGGGAGCAGCGGGGAGACAGGAGGGGTCTGCTGCGCCATGTGGGTAGCTCCCTGGCCTGGGGTGGAACTCCTGCTGCAGTGGCTGCTGGATAGCTTCATAGTGCTGAGACTTTATCTCTTGTGCCACCAGGGAGGCCCCTCAATGCATTACATTAAAAAAAGTCAAATGTAGGCCTCTATCCTACACTGAGTACTTAACTTGAATGACCCTCCATTGCTTCCAGAGACCATCTGTAACTTTTCCCTCCTCAAAAGTGGGGTTAATCCCCACCGACTGGGAGAACATTTTTGCACACAACACTAATGATAAAGGACTGATCACAAAAAACTGCAAAGAGCTGATGAGACTCAACAACAACAACGAAAATAATCCAGTCAAAAAATGGGCAGAAGAGATAAAAAGAAACTTCTCTGAAATGCAAATGGCCAACAGGCATATGAAAAAATGTTCAACATCACTTGTAATCAGGGAAATGCAAATCAAAACTACCATGAGATACCATCTTACACCAGTGAGAATGGCACATATTAAAAAAACTAGCAACAACAAATGTTGGCGAGGATGTGGAGAAAAAGGAACTCAACTGCACTGTTGGTGGGAGTGCAAACTGGTCCAACCACTATGGAGAGCTGTGTGGAGATTTCTGGACCTACTAAACATAGAGCTTCCATAGGATCCAGCAATTCCACTCCTAGGTATTTACCCAAAGGACACAGAAACATCAATTCCAAAGAACACCTGCACCCCTATGTTTATAGCAGCACTATTTACAATAGCTAAGCTTTGGAAACAGCCCAAATGCCCAAAAATAGATGACTGGATCAAGAAGATGTGGTACATATACACCATGGAATATTACTCAGCATTCAAAAAAGATAAACACATGCCATTTGCAGCAACATGGATGGAGCTGGAAGGGATCATGCTCAGCGAAATAAGCCAGAAAGATAAAGAAAAATACCGGATGGTCTCACTCATAGCAGGAATCTAGAAAACTTAAATAAGGGACCAGGAAAATGAATAACTATCAGAAAGTGAAAATAAATATCAACAAAAAACTATGAACCAGAGACACTTTTGGGGGGGTGGGGGGCAGGAGGGGAGGGATTGGGGTCAGAATGGAGGGTTGCAATTGTATGGGGAATATAAAAATAAAATTTATTTTTTAAAAAAAGTGGGGTTAATACCCCTCATTTTGGAAAGAGAAATAGGACTTTGAATCTCTTTTGTGGAAAACTATCACATTTTTATGAACATATCATTCTGAGTCTCTCATTTCTCATTTATGAAGAAAGATTTTCATTAAATTATCTTTAAGCATGTTCAGCTATCTAGTTCTTTGAATTTCTGATTTAATAACTATCATTTACAAATGACTTACTTCTGAGTTGCTCATATCACCAAAGGTTAAATAATTAGTCACTTATATTTCTGGATACAGACATTTCTTCAGAGAGTTCTGAGGAAACACTGCTTTAAGGAAAGGGATTCTGACATTTACCCCAAATGTATTGCTTATAACTAGAACCTTTGACTGGATTCTCTTGCCAATTGGTTCCTAACATATAAAAGTTGGATTCCTAAGAGGTGTAGAGAATGCCTTCTTTTATAAAAGAAGTTTCTTTTGCTCATTTTCTTGTTTTGAAACTGTCTTTGTAAAAAATAATCTGCTGATTATTTTCTGAATGTATCATTTTATTCTCTACGTGGAGTGGGATAATATATTATTTTATGTATTCAAAAAACCTATAATTAGGGGGCCTCCCTGGTGGTGCAAGGGGTTAAGTCTCAGCACTATGAAGCTAATCACAGCCACTGCAGCACGAGTTCGATCCCTGGCCAGGGAGGTGACCCACAAGGCACAGCAGACCTCTCCTAACTCACCCGCTGCTCCCCTCAGCAGTGTATTTCAGTAGATCCACCTGTTCTGCTCCCCACTCTGTCTGTGGTGAATCCTCTCACCCCCCACACCTCTGACCTATACCCAGGTTCTTGCATGGATAAATAAATAAGTTTTAAAAATAAAATCCATAATTATAGTTGCCACCAACTTCTAAACTCTAGCATTTTATATTATTGGTAGGAAATGATCTGACTTTGCATAGAGCATGTCTTGCTTAAATAGGAAATGTCAGAAAAAAAGAATGTATGATGGAAAGTCCATAGTTTTTAGAATTGCTTTCATGGGGAGTTATCTAAGGACATATTGTGTGGAGTCGTACATGTCAATGGGAGCATGATGCTTGGAACACAGAAGAGGGCTTCCCAACTGTCAAATCTGCAAATCTACCAGATGGCTGTTCTTCATGTGAGGATGGCTCCTCTTAAAAATAACGGAAGTTAACTTTTCTATGATGAATGACTTAAAGCCATCATACTGTCAGGCAGATTTAAATATAAGAAAATTTATATTATGTTTGCA